CTGCCAATGTGTACTTGATTTTGATTCTTAGTAGTAATTTTTTCTCTCTCCCCTGCAAAGTGGTAGTATTTCATAACTATGAGAATGGTTGTAACTGTGGGGCCTTCTGGCTTTAAAGTAAATGCTTTTCCTAGTGGGAAAATGCCCTCAGCTTCCACAAAGAGCATGCATACCACATTGAAAAGCAAAACAAACACTCATCAGATCTTCCTGCAGAAATCTGGGAATTTGGGTTCTCATTTGTGTGTGTGTGTGTCTTTCTTTGTAAAGACTGATGAGGTTTAGTAAAGAGGGAAATGGCCAGCGCAAGGGATTTTTGCTGTTTGCTTAGTGTGCCCCTGGGAGGCTGTGGGAAGAGGAAGGAAGAGCCACCAGGAGCATGAACTCGACCTGTGCTGTTGGAGGTGGATGGTGTGCATATGGTCAGAGAAGAGCAGGATGGCCACATCGATATTGCCAGTGGCAGCAGTGGTAATCAAGCTGGCTTTGAACAAGCTGAGCAAAGAAGTCTATCGGAGGAAAGGCATCTCTTGCTATGTAAGGCCTGTGGTCCACCCTTGTGCTTCTTTGTTGTGCTTCTGAGTGCTTATTATTTGCACTGGTGGCATCTAAATATTCCCAATTCAGAAGGCAGCTTCATTTTCTGTCAGGCTCTGTCAGGTGAACCTGCTGCTTTCTGCCTCCTGCAAACTGTAGGTTCACCCTCAGGCTGTGGCATTTCTCCGGCTCCCCCGATACCCAAATCCAGAGTATCTTGTTCTTCCTGGGGTCCTGGGGCTGATGAGGAAAGAGCCTGTGCCCAGATGGCCTGGCTAGGGCTGGCTCCCACTGGCCTCCTGGGATGCTCAAGGCTGCCTGCCTCTCTGCTGGTTGGACCATAATATCCTGTGGCAAACACAAGAATTTATCTAATAGAGCAGAGCTTTTTCTTATTGAAGAATCAACTTGAATCCATACAGCAAATGTAGCTTGCCCTAAGTTGTCTGAATTCCAGCCTTTAATGTGGGAGTCTCCCTGGTCCCCTCAGAAAAGTTTTGGGACTTGAGTTTTCAGGCTGGTGTCCACAGTATGGTCCCTGGTGCCACCAAGACCCATCTCCTTTGTGGATATGCTTTTGGAGTTCCCTCCATGGACTATCTGTGTTTGACCAACATGACCCAGTTGTTCCTACTCATCCAAATCACGGGATTTCAATGTTTGAGCAGTGGCTTGTCTAGACAGTCAATTACTTTCTGCTCTCATGTCTCTTTAGAAACTTCAGTGAGAATGTCTTCTTTGACCTTGCATGTATAATTATTTGTCTTCCCTATAAATAATGGATTTCTTTGTTACTGGTTGGTGCTGATTCATTAATATTTTCTTACCTTCTTGAGTTTCAAACACACTTAGCGTCTTTCCAATCTACTCTTTGCACCAATGACTGGTCCTTTGCATGCTTCCTAGCCCTTCTCTCAGCTGCTGTGTCCACATTTTCTGTAATCCCATTCACTTTAACTGTAGATCCTCCACTGATATGTGCAATCGCATCATCCCAGCTTAGCTTTTGTTCATGAAGAGTGGCACAATTTGCAGAGTTTCCCTCTGCTCATGTATTCAGACTCAGAGAATCTCCTTTTCATGTTCCTCATCTTCATATCAGATCCAGGAATCTCAGTTTTGCTCATTGAGGGAGAAGGGAAAACACGGCAGAGAGGGGCAAAGTGGGACCAAACCTTGGGGTTGTGTGCTTCACAATGCAGAGTAATTTGCCAAGGCATTTAGTAGCAAAGCCCCACAGAGGGCAAACCCACAATGAATCTGATGAGAATGTGGAGAGTAAATTCCTAGAAGAGTTGCAATGACACTGGCTCTGCTTGCCAAGTGATAGCTGGAGGTCACGGTTCTTCAATTTTCCCTTTTGAAAACCAACCCAGGTCAGGTTAGCACTGTGGGTCTCGGGTAACCCCTCGCAGCACATGAGGGCAGGAACAGCACCACATGAAACTTGGCACAGCAGAGCTCCAGCTTTGGTTAAGGCCCCCTCGAGCACTCTTCTAATTGAGATGCTTAGTACCGGTAATTAGTAAGGGCACTAATTGTCCGTTTTTAAGATCTCATCTTTCTCACACTGCAAATTGGCTGGTAGAGAGAAGAAAAGGCACGGGAACTGTCAGTACCTCTCTGCAGACAGCTCACTGCACTTAAGGAAATAGACTTTGAGAAGTGCAGTAAATTTACTGTAATCTGCCCAAAGGCTCTGTTAGCTAAGTCAGCACTTCATGAAAATGATAGCAAACTACCCTTTTCTCAGTCAGGACAGGAATTCATAGTGTGCTTGTTGAGAGGAACTACAAACCTGAAAAGGGCTGTACTTCTCAGATGAGATCAAAAGGGCATGGGAAGGGCTGCTCAGAAACAGGGAGAGCAAGCGAGGCACTATGCTCTCAGATCCCTTGGGAAGATCTCTTAGAAAGAACTCCAAGACTGTAATGTTACAATGCAACTCACTCATGCAAAATGGAAGGTCCTGGCCCCACATTTGCTTTGAGCCCACTGCTCCACCCCTTCTCCCTGTATTTGGAAGAGGTTGGTCACCCCTTGGGAAGTGGCAATAAAGGCACCCAGGTGCTGGGGTTGCCTTTCCAGGGTGAAAGGCCTGAGTGTGGTGTGTGCCAACAGCCAAGCTATGTGCCCAGCTGACAACATTCAGGATGACCCAGGCTTCTCATCCTCTCTGTCCTGGGATGCCTCACCCTTGGCCATGGGTAATCCATCCCTGCCTGCCTGGGGGCACAGGGAGAGCATGGTAGCACTAGCCAAAGAAGCCCTTTGTGTTAAAGTGGTTGAGGCAGAGATTTCACTGGCTCTGCACGCTGGTAGCTGTTTACCAGTGGTGTAGTGGTTCATACCTGCTCACACCCTCCTTGCACTGCAGAAAGCAGGAAATTGGCTCTTTGTGGCTGTTGGCAGGCGTGCTGGAGTGTTCTTCCCATTGATGGAGTATTGCAAAACCACACAGCTCTTCACTGCTTCCCTGGAAGTTGAAAGAAACTGAATTTTTTCTTGGTTTCACTGGGATCAGCAGGAGACCAATACACAGGGCATCAGCAATGCCTACCCTGCGATGCCAATGAGTTCAGCAGCAAGGAAAGCTGGGTCAGTGGCAACTTCTAAGCACATGCATCCCCATCAAGATATGGGATTTCCTCCCTCCTGGGTCCTGCTGCTTACCTGGGCTCTCCAAGGCTGTTGCTGTTTCCACAGTGTATGCAGTCCTGATCTTGTAAACTGTCCGGCTTGGAAATCCCAAAACTAACCTCTGTGGGAGCAGTGAATACTTGGTTCTGAACACTGCTCACTGGGTCCATATCCCTCCTGAGGCTGCTGGTGGCCAGCTGGTGGCTAGTTCCCATCTTCTTCAGGGATGGTGGGAACAAATAATTTATTCCTGCTTCTCCTTATGCTGAGGTGTTGGTGGGCTGATCTGGGGTGAACAGTACATCATTCTCTGTTTGACATGAGCTGTGTGAGAGTGGGACTGTACATGTAGCCTGTTGCCAGACAAATAGCCTGATGTCTTGGGAAATAGTCTTCATTTGGCATCTGCAGATGGCTGGCTGGTCTGAAATGCTATGTTTGCAGTGTTTACAGGAGGCCCCAGCTGCAGACTACAATTTCCCAAGATTTAGGGTATTTTGGACCTGTGGCTTTGGTTTAGACTCTTGTTCAGAGGCACAGTGACCAGTTGTTTTAAATGGAGAGCTGACTTCACATGATAAATCTGCTTCCTGCTGTAGCTGGATTCATCCAGTCCATTTGTGTACAGAATGCCTGGATTTAAAAAGTCATTTGGTCCATGAGCTATGGAATTCAAAAAGCCCTTTTTATTACAAATTTATGTCCTTTGTGTTCTGCAATGCCACTGAAACATGTTTGCTCCACCATGTCCCCTATAGCTTTGGGCACCCTTTAGCATTGACAGCTCCTTCCCAAACTCCCATCTCCCTCTAACTTTCAGTTGTCTTCCACCTTATTATTGCTGTAACCTCAGCTCTTTTCCATGCTCCCACCTCCTTGATCCCAACATCCTCTTGCATGTCTCATGACCTGTTCCCTTGGGAAATCTGACTGAAAAGCAGATCCAGGTTAAGCTGGTTCAAAATTGTATTTTTACATTTTCTGCAAATGTAGCAGAGTGAATTTTACTGGAAACTAAGCACAATTTATAAGTCTTTGCAAGGCCAAGCGCCACCCAGATCTGGTGCTGCACCACTGCAGCAGGGGCAGGGCATCCTTTGCCGCTCAGGCTGGAGCGTTGGGCTACCATCAAGCTCACCTAAAGTCATGCTGCCATCACCAGAGGGTCTTTCTGCATTTTCCCTGGTTCATGTGCCACAGAGTGCTGTCTGAGCTCTCCTACAGCCACAACATGAGCTGGAGCAGTTCATTGGTCCAGGTGGAAATGAATGACTTGGTGAGGCAGTGCTCAGTCTCTGGAGGGTGGATGAGCAGCAACAATTCACTCCACAGCTTCATGAGCCCTCTGTCTGATGTCAGGCAGGTGGCAGGAAGGTAGGAGCAGCGATGAGAGGCAGGATAAGACAGTAAGCTTTCATCAGGGATGCTGTATTAGGTCAGTGTTGGCTGACCATGACGCTGTGTCCCAACACACCCTTCATCTCAGCAAATGTTGGAATGACAAGTGCTGGGTGTAGTAGGCTAACATGAGCTTCATGCTTGGGGGAGAGGAGGAGGAGGAGCAGGAAGATAAGGGGAGATCCCATTACTTTTGGGGCCAGTGCAGAGGTGATGTTCAGGCAGCATAAACTCCCTCCTCAGAGCAGCGGGGGCCACCACACTGTAAATAAGCTACTGCATCCTTTCAGACCCATGCAGTGCCAGGAGACGTCAGCCTTTTGCTGTTAATACTCTCTTTGTTCCAAAGCAGATTTTATCAATGCCACTGGATGACTCTTTTCTCTTTCAACAGAAAATTAACCCAACCCTCCAGAACTTCCATTAAGTAATGGTATCATATTAAAAGAAAACAAACCAGGGAGAAGAAAACCCCAGTTCTGGCAGTTTGCATCAAGATATGAAGACAAATTTCCAGAAAGTTGTGTGCACAGGGATTGCAGAGTGATTTGGTGAGCATGCCAGTTCTGTCAAAGTGGGAGGCAATGGTGTCAAAACTATTGATGACAGGAGCTGTGCTCACACAAGGGAACAAATCCTTCCTAGTGCAAGTCCGGGTGCCTCAGAAATATTCTCAGCCTATACCTCTTTTCCTTCACCTCAGACCAACTTGTTTTTTCCTTTCTGCTTTTACAAGCCATGTCAGGCTCATCCAAAAACCTGTCATCCTTTTTAACAAAAGGGTGAAATAAACATCCCAGCATCATCCTCGGCAACTTGCCACAGGGAAACTGCTGCAAGATATGACAAGATGAATACTGCCTTTAAATGTGATACGGAGAGGAAACGAATGACACCCGCTTGAAAGAAGCAGCACCGGGGCCCCACAGGGCTGACCTGATGGTAGCAGGATGGGGTGCCAGCATGGCAGTGAGCAGGAGAGGGCTGGGGAGTCTCCTCCCTGGCACAGCATGTGGTCCTCATGACCCAAAGGGTCCATTGGTCACACTAGGGCCCTGTCTTGGCTGTCCTCATCAAACCATGGGGGTTTTTGGATGAATTCCTGTTGGCCTGGGCAGATAGCACTGTCAGGGCTCTCCCAGGTGGTGTGGAGACAGCATCAGGGCAGCTGTACCTTGTTTCATTAAGTTGTCTATAAAAAGGGCAATGCTCAAGGCAAGCTAAATTTTTTTTTTAAGAAAAAGGTAATTTTAGTTGATCTGGACTGAGGTGAGAGGAAGAGGCTAACTCTAAGTTTGCTAAACAAAACTGGTGAGAGAAAGAGGGCCAGTGGGGAAATAAATGCAGTATCAGGGGATAAGAAGAAAGCATGATGTGCAGAGCTGTCAGTCTGGAGGCCTTTGAGCCTCCAAAGGGCTGTGCAGGTGCTCTCTGTCCAGCCACTTGGCCTGCAGGAATTTGGTGCAGATGATGTACCCACACATCAGCAGCAGGAGACACTTGGTCCTGGAGATGTGGTTTAGGGGTGGTCTGACTGCTGAGCTCTCCACCACCTTACCCTGCTTGTATCTCTCTTCTGTGTGGCTCCTTCTAAGGCAACAGCACAGCAAGTGCAATGCACTGAAATGTTGTCATTTAAAGGTGATCTATGGTTTATCCTTCTAGTTCTTTGCTGTTAAAGCTTCTCACTGCCAGGGACCTACCATAAAACACAGAAATGTAGCATGCTCTTCATGGAGACACTTGAGTTATTTCAACTCAGTGTCTCTAATCTCAAAAGCACATCAGAGAAATGTATAAAGGATGCAGTCGTTGCCCCAGAGATATGATCTAAGCATAGATAAAGCAACTAAAAAGATGACATAACAGGACACTAGAGGGAAAGGCATCAAATTGTTGTATCTGGGGTATTGCAGCCTTTGCTAAGTTTGTGAAGTCTAACAGTGCTATTCTCTGTGTGTCTATGCATGTATACGCACACATGCATAGGTGTATTTACAACCATTACTTTAGCTACAGTTGCTAAAAATTCATCCCATAAATAATTTGAACTAAAAAACTCCTTAGTGATGTTCGCTGGTCAAAGGGGATGAGGACAAAAAGAAGATAGAAGTGTAAGAGTTTTCCCTGGCCACCTTGTTTCCCTTCTGAACCCTCCAAATGCTGTTGAGCTCTGTGTACTAAAATTGTAACTCAAACATACTATTATATGTCTTCCACGAGCTCAAGCCCCTGTCTACCAGTTTGTTAGAGGGCATTCACATACTTTGGCTTTCACAGTGTCTGTGCTTTAGTTCATTAGCTCACAAAAAACTTTGGGTAGCTCTTATAACCTTGGGTAGCTCTTATAACCTCATTACAAAAATATCCTTGTTGTGTGGATAATGGGGATAATGCTTGGCTACGTTTCTGCCAGGAGTTCTGATAATTAATTATTTAATCTTTATAGAGCACTTAGATCTTTGGATACCTCTTGATAGAATCACATATCCCCTTAGCTGTCAAACCACAATAGCACCTTTTCAGCCCTACTGGCGATGCAGCAAGATAGTAAAACATCCCCATTGCCTGAACACACTGAGTGATTGGCTCTACCTTTATCAAAGTAAACCACAACAGGTTTCACTACTTGAATGAAATAAAGCCTGAAAGACAATATGAGAAAGAGACAGTGAGGAGATTAATGCTAGTCTTGATGGAAGATTTCCTGGCTGGCTGCTTTTGCCCAGAAAGCCCCTCAGAGAATGCAATTAGTGTGTTTTATGCACACATTAGCAGCATTTCTTCATCCGATGCCATCCGTGTTCTGTGTGCTCTCTTCCTCTCTCATGGGTTTGAATGCTTTGTGTTTATAGTTTTGTAGCCTGGGTCACCCTTTCTTTTGTGTCTGTGGGGATGGGCTCATCTGCAACATAGATGTAGAGCAAGGTTGGGGAAATGGACAATACTAAAATGTCACTGCCTGGCTGGATGGCTGGATGGCTGTGGGAAGGCTTATAGCCTGCATGTGAGTCTGCAGTGCTTGAAAATCCAGTTCAATGGCACCAGAGGACATCCCTGTGGGCACTGCTGCCACGTGCACTCGGGCAACCTGTTCCAGGCTCAGGTCAGGCCAGGTGCTGAAGCAGCCAACCTGGGTCACTTGCTCAATAATTTCTAGTCCTTGTTAGCAAATGGTGATGGTGCAGCGTTCCTCCTGGCTGTGAGCCATGGCAGTACAATGCCACCACAGGTGACCTCCACTTTGTGCTGCCATGCAGTACTTGGGGCAGGGCAAGCTGTTTTTTTTTTTTCTCTTAGAACAGGCACAAAATGGCAGACCTCAGTACTTTGTAACAAAGCTGGATTTCAGTGCAAGTCAGACTTTGCAAATTTCAACAGATCTGAGTTTGAATTAGAATCTCAAATTCAGGGGTGGATCTGCTCTGAACCTTAGAACAGTTTCTGTTCCCTGTTTACTCCTTGGATGGAATAGAGAAACTGAGATAATTGTAATTTTACTACTATAAAGAGTCACAAATTCTGAAGCTTTTCATCCAGACCATGCAGAACAGACTTTGATGACTTCAGAGATATTGAAATCCAGCTTGAATCTGTTTATGGTTTTACAGAATTACAATATAGATTAACTAAGCTTGTAAAAACCCAATACACAAACTCTTCACCTCATCTTAGTTTCTATTACCTATCTTAAAATTGAGATTTTTTTTAAAGTCACATTGAAGTACAATTTCAATTACATCCTGTTAATAACTAATAATTTAATGGCAACTCAGTGCAAGATACCACCCCACCAAGGATTGGCATTTAGAGGACTACGCCTGCAGGGGTAAGGACAGTTTGGTTTCAGAGCTGTATCTCCTTGGTGTGACTGTTCCTGATGGATTGTGAACAAAATTTTATTGTGAAATACATGTCCTTATTGGAGTTGCTGTTAACTTCATAATTGCTTTGTAATTACTAAGGAGAGAGTATCTTACACTTCTGACAGCCAGGTGCATGTATTGCTTAATCTGTCTCCATTATGGTCTTGGCTCAGTTCCTGAGGGTGCTTTCCTATTCTCTTTCAGTTGTGCAATACCAAAACTGACTAAGTGGTGCATCTGCTGCTTTGTTCCTTCTTCAGAGCTAACAACAGGAGCAAACAGAGATGAACTTTCAAGAAGTTGGGAGAGTCAGGTTGGCCGAGATCTGGGCATGCCACTCCTGTCATGAGCTTTTTTCCCAGCTGGAGGCCTTGCTGCCTGCCCTGAGGCAGGCTCCTCACAGGGCAGTGGGGAACAGAGCACTCAGACCACCCACTCCTCTTGCCCTGCAAGCACAAAGCAATACCACAGCATCTTAACAGGCAGCACTGCCAGGAGCTGAGAAGGCTACCAGGAGAGAGGTCAAGGGTCTTTCTTCTGGACATCTTCAGGCTGGAATATGGGTTAGAAAAAGTTTCATCTCAAACAGTGATTAAGAGTGGGACAGCAATGAGAGAAACAGTGAGTTGTCAGCAACTTCAGATGAGATTCCTGCCCTGAGGGAAGTGCCATTCGTCTGTTTTGCTGTATACGGGGTCAGAGCTTATGCTAAAATATTGCAAATTGTCAGCTTTGTCTGTGGCTTTGGGAATATTTCAGTGGCCCTTGCTGCATGCACTGGCATTCTAATGGAACTTTACGAAAGGGCTTTTTTGGTGTAATCCGTCAACAGATAAGCCCAGGGAGAAAGAGAAGGAGAATTCAGTGCCTTTCCCACGAGAGGCAACAATGAAGATGCATGCATTAAGCATCCTCCTCTCCCTTTGGTACAACCAGCAGAGCAGGGTCTCCAAGGATCTCATCAAGCACAGTGCTAGTTGAATGGGTGTCCTGCCTGACAAAAACTTTTCTTAATAATGTTTTCACTTACATGTAAAGAATAAAGTTCTTATCTTATCCCTTCCTATATCTTTTTTTTTCCCCAGAGAAATCAATATTTTTGGTATACGTGACCAAGGAACAACAATCTCATGGGGGTATTGTCAATTTTATTGACTTTCCAGTAGAGCAGAAATCAATGAAACAGGTTACTACAGATACAGTTTGCTTGTTACACATGTGACAGCCATGCAAAGCTCTGACCAGGCAATAATTTCTCCTAGGACTGATGTTACACCTCCAAGGCCACCATCAGTGTTCAGTTCCCAGGCAGCAGGAGCCTCTGGTAGGCTGCAGAGCACCCCAGTCTATCCACAGCTCTCCCCTCTCTCTTCTAACCAGCCCATGTGCCTGCAGGGCTTGCAGGGTCCTGTTATTGGCATCCAGCTCCAGGCAGCTGCCCCTTGGGGGGTTAGTTATGCCCAACACTTTTGTTCCCCATAGCCACTGGCCTATTTTCTGAGCTCGTTACTGGAAACTCTTGCATCTTGGGCTGACAAACTGGCTTCGTGCTCTCCTCTGCCAGGAAGATGGAGGTCCCCTTGGGCTATGGAGACAAAAATGGCCTCTTTCTGAAGAAGCTTCAAGTGTCATATTTCTCTTCAGTCCCTGTTTCAAGGTCAGATGATGTCAGCATTGCTCTCTTGTCCACAGTGGACTGAAAGCATGAGAAGCATCAGACTTCCCCTTCCCTTTTCTCAGTTGTCTGCTTATCCCCATAGAGTAGAAGTTGTCTTTCCAAGAGAAAAGAGTGCACTCTGTGTTATAACAGATGAACTTTTCAGCCGACATAGCTCCCCTTTTCCCATTTCCTCTGTTGTTAGTATCCCTTTCCTGCTGAGAAACTTTTTAGTCACGAGATGCTCAGCAAAATACTGGCATTTCAGAAGGTGCTGCAAAAGACCAGAAGGGGGAATTTTTCATTTCAGAAAACAATTGTGTCTTCAAGGCCTCATAGTCGGTGCAGTTCTAGGAAATGCTTTGAAGTAGAGAAGGATGTGAGATTTTTTTGGAGTGACTCATGGCTTTTATAGATTACCAGTTTCACAGCCTTGGAGGCTGATAAGTCTGTTCACAGAGCAGGTGTAGCAAGCGCCCTGTGAGGCCTTGCTGTGTGTGTAGGGGGGTTGTGTCAGTGTTGCCACAGGGAAATACGGTTGTGTGGATGCCCTTGACTTTCAACCCTGCTGTTGTGCTTGCTGTGGGGGCTCCCAGGGCTTTAGGATGCACAACCATCTATAGAGGCACAGGGGGAGACCTCTTGATGTCTCTTGATGCAAAATTGCACTTTTAGAGGGAGCAGGGAAGAGAAAGCTGATGTGAGGAGTCTTGAGGAGAGGCCTGCACAGAAGCAGCTGCATGCCGTGACATGGGAAAATGAATTCCGGGTGCCCACAGATACATCATGATGGTGACCAGAGTACGTCTGAGTGGGCGCTGAGCTCTGTCCCTCAGCGTGCCATGGTCTGAAGAGAAGCCTGAATGGGCTTTACATAGAACCCCCTTTGTGCACAATGCGCTGCTGTACCTTCCTTTCCATCAAATTTTACAGCTTCTTTTAAGACTTTTGCCATTAAATGGAAGTGGAAGGGGTAGGAAATTGAGGAGAGATGTAAATGCAGCCTGACTGTGCTTTATTAGATACATTTACTAGCTAGTTACTGGTCCAGCTTGGGGTTAATGCCTGAATTGAAGCATGACTTTGCAGTAATCCACAACACTGTAGCTTTTGGAGGTGCAACACTCCTGTCTTTTCCTCTGGTTGTGGCATGCTCTGAAACATCCTCCCATCAAGTGCCATGTCCAAGTGCTTTCTACACATATGCAGAGCAAACGCGAGGCCTTTTTTTACTCCAGAAAAACATCTTGGACCTTTGGTTCTGTCATCGGTCAGATGAAAGTCAGCTACTCTAGGCCTGCTCCTATTCCCAGTCTGCTCTGGAGTGCATATTCTTCCAAACGTTTGAGTTCTGGCTGGAAACAAGTTTCATGTAGGGGCACTTTTTAATAGGGTCCTGCCAAAATTTGGTCACACAGCTGGGCTAAGTGATAACACAAGGCCCCCCTGTCCCTGGGTGCTGTGCCCTGTGCTGTGTGATTCTGTGGGGCACTGCTGGTTCAGCATCACCCAGCGGTGGTGCCACTCCAGGTATCAGGATGTACCTTGGCCTTGGAAAATATAAAAGGCCTCATCCTGCAGACCTTTGCAGGTAACTCTTTCATTATAATTTTCTTTATAATGTTTGGAGACAGTGGCTTGTATGGAGGTGGGAGGATGGCATACATTTGTTGCCGCTTCTCCATTACCTTGAGGCAGGTTAGCCAGGTTGTAGATTAACTGTGCACAAAAGCCCAGCAATTACAGTACCATTATAGATATGTGATTATGTATATCCTTAAGTTTACGACTTCATTCTTTCTTAAACTCATTTCTCAAAGACAAATACACTGAACATGTGGTGTTTTCTCAGCCTGGGCTGACATGCACTTTGTTTGACCTGCCTTAATCCTGAACAGGACGTGCCCTCCTGCTTGCCCTGCTACCTATCTGCTCGTCCACCCTGGGTCTCAGCAGGACGGCTGAGACTGAGAGACCTTGAGGAGATGCCCATCAGAGCTGCTGGGCATGGGCTGCAGTAGTAGAGGGCCTTGTTCATGCTGCCTGCAAGCACCGCACGCTTCCATGCTCCCTCTGAGCCCAGCTGAGAGCTGCCTGCCTATCTGTGGTTGCCAGGGCTCAGCTCCACTGGGGCTTGTCAAAACCAAAACAGAGCTTGGTGTCAGAAAGGAAGGCGCAAGAGCAAACACTGTCTTGAAACTGCTGAGCACTGACTGTGGAGAAAGAAGGGAGTAAACAACCCCTGGGCAGAGGGAGAGCAAGATGGAGGCTGGATCCTTGCATCCTCCCCACAGAGGCTCTTTGCACAAAAGGCAGGCAGACTTCAGGGATCAGCAGGCACACCATGGAGGTATTTAGATTCCCCATTGTCTGCAAGCTGCATCTTGGACTGACAAGGGGAATAGCCACCTCTTCACCCTGCTCTCTGTCCAGCATGCCTGCTGTTGCAAGGCCTTTCTTGCTGCGGGCTGTCAGGAACAGGGGCAGACCCCAGCCTCACAGGGGGGCCAGGGGTGTGCTGGTGTGTGGGGTCACTCTGCTTATCTGTCAGGGAAACCAGTGCACATCAGCCTACAGAGCTGCTTCCAGTGCCTTCCCATTAGCTGGCTGATTTCCCTCTTAATGCACACATTATATTGGTATGGCTGTCAAATGAATGCAGAAAGCATTGAGAAATGCATGTTGACTTATAGACAGCTGGAGATTTAGAGTGATTCATGGAAACACCCATAGCTGAGAAAATACTCATAAAAGCAACCAGCCACTTATGCTAGCTTAACACTTCCACTTCTGGCTGGGACAAGGAAGTGCTGGCTCCTCAGGAAAACAAGTGGGCAGGCTCACTCAGGTGTGTCTGAACTGTAGGAGGAATTTGCCTTGAAAACATTTCTGATTCATCCTGATAAACCCAGTCTCTCAGCCCTTGCGCTGGCTGCGAGTGGCCCAGGTCAAATCCATTGGTGACATCAGACAAGGGATTTTTGGCAGGCTTGGGGGAGTGGGAAGGACAAAAGAGGAAAGACGAATCCAGACCCAGACTTTGCAACACTTTTGAAAAGCCCCGCCAAACCCCAGAGCCAAACATAGCTGAGCTGGGGAATACCATGAGTACAAAGTTTTTCTCTTGGGCCTGTCTCCCATGCTCTTCTTCCTCTCCAAAGTTTTGCCACTGAGCTTGCAAAAAGAAAATAAACTCCATGTTATTGACTTCAGCACGTCTCTGTGCATATGGTTCCATGATGGTTCCGTGAGTATCGGCAGGACTGCACTGCTCGGGAAATGTTGCTGTGACATAGCCTGAGGCTGGGAGGCACTAGTGAGCCCCGGGCAGGGAAACCCCACTGGCTGTCTTTATTGCCAAGCTCAAACCATGGCTGCTCACTTGAGAGGCAGCCAGGGCAGGGTGAGGGGTACTTCAGAAAGGAATAGCTTTCTGGGAAATCCTCCATCCTTCTCCCTGGGGCTGTGCACTGTGTGGGGGTAGGCTAGCAGATGTTTCACTGATGATAGCCTTCTTTCAGGCTTTCAAATTGCCAAGTTCTGCCCTTCTTTCTCCCTTCTCCCCTTCACAACTAAAAAAAAAAAAAAAATCCATCTACTCCTTAAAGTTTAGAGATTTTTGGGAGGTGCTGAGTTAACATGGTGGATTTTGAAATAAGATGGATTTTGAACTTGAAAAAAAAACCCCTGAAAACACAGAACTGAACACTGAGTGCAGCCTTCCTGTGGCACATCCTCAGCTGCATCAGCACACCCTGCTGATAGAAGGAAACACTCCTGCGCAAAGCATACACTGACACCCTCTCCCTTTGCAAACCAAATTAATCATACGCATGTGCCATATTCCATTTTAATTTTTATTACACAGTCCAAGTTTAAAGGTTAATGTAGTACGGTACCCCATCTCCACTCCCATTACAATGGAGTGCTTTGAATAACTATTAACTTCGCGGTTAACTGAAAGAAAATTGTTAATCATCTACAAGCTTATGTTGCATAAAAATCATTATGTGTAACTTTCTCCTGACTGTGGGAGAGCCCTTTCCTCAACGCTGACCTTCAACAACACCTGGTACCTGCAGTCTGCAAAACACAGAAAATCATACTACATGGGCTTATCAGCCAGCCAAGGTCATAAACTGCGTGAATCAGTGGAGCGCAACTTATGTTTCTTGGTGTTGATGTTGATCCAACACCCAGTTCTTCTGCCAGCAAAGACAGAGTTCTCTGGGTCTTCAGAAAGCACCTAATAAGTTGCTTTGTTTTGCTTTGCTTTGTTTTTTAATTTAGCAAGTTAAGGCTAATCTGTGGAGCATGAGGTGTTGCTGGGACACACACTGTGACAGTACAGCCTGTCCTTCCCACTGCACAGGACGTGTGCAGACCGGCGCATGTGTGCACACTGCGGT